TTAACTACAGGTGTAAGATAACATATGATAACAGAATAATCTCACACTAGTTATGAGATATAAGCGTCTGTCAGTGCGCCCCAGGGTGGCTGTGGCTAAAATGTAGCTTGCCATCACCGGTGTGTGAATGTGTGTGTGAATGAGTGCATGACTGGATATGTAAAGCGCTTTGGGGTAGTAGTAAAGCGCTATACAAATACAGGCCATTTACCATTTAAAAGTTGTGAGATTATTATATTATCTTATGCTATGTTATACCCCTAATTAAAGATTGTGAAATTATTTTGTAGTTTTAGTTTGCATTATTCTCCCGAAGAGGTGATAACTATTAGATTTTTTAAACTGATTTGTATTACATTAGACTGCTGATTTATTGTGAATGAATGATATTGTTTTATGATGCATTATACTGCTGAGTTATAAGAAATACTGTTTTTAGAGAGTCATGGCCAGAGGCTATAAGAGTTTGAGTAACTTTCCATCATTTCGAGATTTTGCTGTGACCCTCTTCATGCATGTCTCCCCATCCGGATGGTTTATACTCAAAGTGTTGAATTGTATTGAATAAAATAATTGTTGATTGAGCATTTATACACCGAGTATTGTCCTTCCTTCAGCCCAAAGATCAAAAGAACTGAGGATTTAACAAGGTAAAAATAAATCCCAGCAATACCCTCAACATATCCACATCCCCACAGTTGTTAGACTATGAGCTGGGGATACAGAAATCTGTGTTTGAAATCCTTGGGGATGCTGTTAAAGCAGATAGGGACCCACAGAAAGACTGACGCAAGGATCAAAGGCCAAATATCTCCACAATCATTCTCCACGGTGCTGATCTGCCAATAGGTGTCACCACACTGGAGTTCCCTTCACCATCAAGCAGCAACCAAAGGAGCTACAAGTGTATTGTCCTTACTGCTCCAACTCTGAGCACTATGTGACACAGTGAGACAACTTTTGTCAACACGCGATATTGGATCATGGATTTTCCAGATATCTGATACGCTGTGAAGATATATGAATAGCTGAATATATGAATAGCTGAAAGAGTTGCCTCTGATCCAGTCAGTTTCAGCTTGTGGTCCTGATTTTCTACTATTGTCCACATCTCATTACCCCAATAGAGCCAGTGCATGTGGTGCCACCAGTTGGACCAGCTACGAGTGGCAGGACCACCCTTTTGATGCTACCTGTCGCACATGTTGTGCGACCGTCGCATTACAAAAACATGTGAATGTTGTAAAAGCACTGTGACTGAAAAAGTGATTTGAAAGTGCAAATTTAGGGAAATTGTGTCGTAACCACATTTTGCGAGGAGTGCTGTTTCCCTGTGATTTCTTTCTATCTTTTCTTTGGGAAAAGAAAAACAGTTATAAACTCCTCTCTATAAACACTGAGCTTAACAGTGAAGTTATGTTTCTGCAGATACCTATAAACACTTTGTCACTGATGTAAGAGGACTGAAAAAAGGTGTAATAGTAAGTAAAACCAAATATGTTAATTGAGTAATTTGATTTATTCTTACATGGAAAATTATTTGCTGCCTTCTTTTTGTGAACAACATTTTCACTTCCAGGTGACTGTTGGTGTAATTTGGCAATGTATAGATAAAACTGAATTGAAACTTCTGCTGTACAGCTCACTAAGGAGTCCTCTCATGGACAGTGTGCAATGACACAAAAGAACAACTTCAATTTCACCATAAGCCTTACTGGAGATCAGTTTGGATATGTAAATGACACTTTTGTACATTAGTCTGAGATCAGTGCTATGAGAGTGACTTTAAGATCACAACTTGATTTGAGACAGAATCTTGGTCCTGGAAATAGCTCTAAGATATCAACTGAGTATGCCAAATGAGATGACAGGATCAAGGAACATCAAAGTACCACAGCAAAGAATAAATGCACATATGAAAGAGGAAGTATCACTGCTATGGAGATTTCTTGTTTTGCATACAGACTCAGGACTGCTGTTCTCCTCTTGGCATTTTCTTATATAAATATTTTTGATTTTGAACCTCAGAATTTAGCAGCACAACACTTCAATTCTTTTTTCCATCAAACATTTCATTCAGCCACTGCTCTCCCCAGGTGTGCTGGATTAGATTCAAATGCAGAGTCTTCTGTGCTGGTAAAAGAGGCTCTTTGTGAGTTCATAAATTTAAAAAAAAAAAAAAGAAAAAAGAAGAAGCTCACGTGAATGTGGAGGCCACAGAAAAGGACCGTACCAAAGAGCACTGCTAAGACAAAGTGATTCGGGCCAGTAAAGCAGTTGCAGAGCAGCTGGCCAGGACTTTTTTTTCCCTCTGGAGAGTCTGCAAAATTGCTTTGTGTGATTTCAAAAGATTTTAACATTAGCTGTGTTACTCATTGACTGAAGAGAGTCATACTTCTCCATATAATAACTCTATTGACAGTCGACAGTACATTTTTAATTGATTATTGATAAATGTTAAACAGTTTTAAATGTTATGCAATGAGTGGGGAGTGGAGTGAGCTGAGCAAAGAAATGAAATCAGTAACTAAAAAAAGGTCAGTGCCAGAAACAGTACGAAGAAGAAAGAACTGACCAGTGGCTTCATAATATTCAATGAAAGTAAGGATGAAATAAACATCTGACTAACAATACATTCTGTAAATTGGGGAAACATGGTAGATGGAAATAAGACTTGTTTTCAATAAGAGACAATAGAACATGTTTTATTTTTCTGTTCCAGTTGGTGGCGGTAATGCTCCAGAAACCTCGGTCGCAAACCGCCAGCAAACAAGAAGAAGAAGAAGAAGAAGTAGCAGCTCCCGGTGTTCCAGATCTACTGGCGTTTAGATCAACTGGCGTTGGTCGAACAGATGTGTGGCAGTCTTGCGTTTCAGTAGCTGCTACCGACAAACCAGCAAAAAAAAGCCAAATGTGTCATCTGTGACACTTGTGAGGTTATCTCAAACACACTCCGTCAGTCTTGATGCTGTTGAACAACAAAATGTTTAAAAATGTGGCGAGTTTACCTGGTGATATCCTCATGCGCGACGCGATCGCGAAAACAGCAAACAAGTAACACCACGCCGATGTTGTCCACAGGACAGCAAGAGTAAACGATCGGGAGACTCTTGTCGTCGTTATCGTTCCCCTCGCACGGTTTATTTCTCCGAATTCAGCGTTTTTGCTTCACAACTACAGCGTGCTGTTTACTTTGTGCACTAACATGGAGTCGAGTCAACCAGCGCCACCTCTGGCCAAGTGCCACAGCCTACAGCCAGATCAACCTGTGACACATCTGCACCACGTTTGAATTCGTGTCATGCACATTTGTACCTTTCAATTGTGTCTGTTTGTGCGTCATGCAAATAAACCTTTGGAAAGAATGAAATGATATCATGTATTTATTATCAGCCTACATTTGTACAAAATTCCAAATTATATACACAAAGTCATAGAAATCACCACTCCAATTGGTCATCATGATTTTAATATTCTCTTTTTCCATAACAATGAAATACGCCTTGGACAAATATGACACATCAATATTTCATTAGTGTTGTCACATCACATCCTGTAAGCATCGTCTGTCTGTGTCTTTTCCCTGAAAATGAATATTTCCAGCCAATATAGGCAATCCATCAACATGGCTGGAGTTATATACAGTCTGTATAAGTGTGGTTAATCTAATGAACATTTGTAAGGAGACGGCAGTTACTGTGAATTCACAGCAGTTACACAGTGATTAGTAATAAACAGCCAGTGAGAGTGAGTGGATATGACTGTTCCCACCACTAACACATGACCATAGCCCACTACTAGATTAACTTGTGACACATCTGCACCTGCTGCTATGATCACATTGAGTAGAGGCTGAGTGGCTGCACTTACCCCTGGTACATCCAAATCTGCCCACAAACATGTTGAAAGATGCAATGCCAGCAATGTGGATTGTCAACACTAAAAACAATCGGTAAGCAAAGACAACAGGGATCAATTTTTTCTGTTTATTTAGCACCCACAACATTTGTAGTCGCCTTCTGCACAGGGGAAGTCCACACACACCGTGTGGTACCACTTTCCACAGAAGGTGCAATCTGCAAGATTGAATGAGGTTGTCAGGGTCATTGTCTGACTGTTTATTACTAATCACTGTGTAACTGCTGTACATTCACAGTAACTGCCATCTCCTTATAAATGTTTATTAGATTGACCACACTTATGCAGACTGTATATCACAACCAACTCTAACATGTTTGTTTGCAGAGGGAAGACACAGGCAGACTACGCTAACGACATGTGATGTTACAACACTGGTGAAATATTAGTGTGTTCACGACATTTTTCGTATGGGCAAAAGTATTGATATCAGGATGGTGATTCTTATGTGTATGTCATTTGGCATTTTGTACAAATGTAGGCTGATAATAAATACATGATATCATTTCATTCATTTCAAAGGTTTATTTGCATGACGCACAAACAGACACAATTGAAAGGTACAAATGTGCATGACACTGATTCAAACGTGGTGCAGATGTGTGTCACAGGTTGATCTGGCTGTAGGCTGTGGCACTTGGCCAGAGGTGGCGCTGGTTGACTCGACTCCATGTTAGTGCACAAAGTAAACAGCACGCTGTAGTTGTGAAGCAAAAACGCTGAATTCGGAGAAATAAACCGTGCGAGGGGAACGATAACGACGACAAGAGTCTCCCGATCGTTTACTCTTGCTGTCCTGTGGACAACATCGGCGTGGTGTTACTTGTTTGCTGTTTTCGCGATCGCGTCGCGCATGAGGATATCACCAGGTAAACTCGCCACATTTTTAAACATTTTGTTGTTCAACAGCATCAAGACTGACGGAGTGTGTTTGAGACAACCTCACAAGTGTCACAGATGACACATTTGGCGTTTTTTTGCTGGTTTGTCGGTAGCAGCTCCTGAAACGCAAGACTGCCACACATCTGTTCGACCAACGCCAGTTGATCTAAACGCCAGTAGATCTGGAACACCGGCAGACCGCATTTCTGTTTCTGATGCGTGTTTGGAAAGATATACGCTCTCGTAGCTCACACAGCTTGTTCTTTCTGCAAGGTAGCCAGTAACATGCTGGGAGGTCAGATAGCCCACTGTCTCTACTAGTCCTACTCCAACTACAAAGCCCACGTGTCTCCTTCTCCGCTGGTGGATCTTTAGGTCGGGTTATTCTGAGAGGGGATCCAGAGTGAGTACATTATAACTACATTGGCTGCTTAACTCTATAACTGTTTACAGGGTTTCTCTCTCTTAGCTATTTTTTTTTTCGTTTGTTCCTTGTGTTTAACGTCTCGGTTTGTCTGCCTGGAGCTTCCAGCAGTTCAGGACTTAAATGTTTAATCATTTGAGTTCAGCTATTTGTTTTACTTCTTTTGAAGGTGGTGTACTGAAAGTTACGATTATATGAGATGGATAAAATACAGCATAATCCACAATTAATAACAGAATCACCAATCAGTAATACGCCTTGATGCATGCTCAATTATCCAGGTAAGTAAACCCCCAAATTTGATTGTGTTCATCTGGACGTCTTCAGTGGGAGAAACGTTTCGTCAACTTGGATGAGTGACGAAACGTTTCTCCTGCTGAAAACGTCCAGAATAAACTTTCAGGGACCAACCAGTAATGTGTCTTTAAATTGGCACTGTTCTAGTGGCAGCCTGTTGTAGCAGCTCCATGTCTACGTAATGTTCTTTAGTTTCGTTTGCGGTTCTGTCTTTTTCATTTTCTTTCTGTTTAATCTTACTATTTTGTTTTAATTATTTTGCTTTCAATAATTTTGCTTTTTATTTATATATCTCTGTATTTGTCTTAATATTGATCCATCATAACTGTTTCTAGGCTCATTTGTATGAGTGCTTGTTCTTTGTTGCATATTTGCTTCTATGACAACTCAGTTTCACTCTGCGATTAATAGAGTTTCTCTGAATCTGATTCTAATGTTGGTAGTGAATGTATGAGTAAGAATAATTCTATACAATATAGGGCTGCACGATTAATCGTTAGAAAATCGCGATCTCGATTCATACTTATGTGCGATCTCATTTCCAAATGACAACGATTTAAAAAAAAAAAAAAAAAAAAAGACGACGACGATTGTACCGCATTTTGATCCGGGACGTAATCTGCATGAAAACAAGCGCTCACTCTTCCGCTCAACAAATGACAAGGGCGGAGCCTTATACCACGTGATACAGAAGCTGTGCCGTGTGATGTTAAAATTAGCAGGGAAAAACCAACGGAGAGCACGTCAGGGATGACGAGAAAGTGACAGGAGAAAATCCGTCCCGGTCAACCACCCAAACATCAATAACGGGAACCTTCCCTATACCCGTCGAACTCCCGCAGGCACAAAGAAATTACGGAGGCTATCACTTATCACCTGACCAAATATATGGCTCCCATCAACACTGTGCAAAACGAGGGATTTAGGAAAATGATCAACGCCCTAGACAAACGTTACACAGTGCCGTCCCGAAACTATTTTTCTATTGTTGCACTACCTGCACTATACACGCAGCGTCGAGCAACGGTGGAGATGGAATTTCAAGCAGTACAACATTTTGCGGTTTCAACTGTTACGAAGTTGATGTGCAGTTAATAAGTGCAATAAATATTTATACTGGAAAAGAAAATCGTGAGAGAATCGTGATCTCAATTCTAAGCCAAAAAATCGTGATTCTCATTTTATGCAAAATCGTGCAGCCCTAATACAATACAATGCTCTTAGGTAGTGCCGTACAATAAATCACTGAATAGAAAAATAAAGATCTGTTTGATGACACAGGCGACTGATGGGAGGAGGAGAGTCTGATGGAGGAGCAGCTCAGCCACTGCAGTGAGATCTGTTCTTCATAAAAGGTGACAAAAATAAAAATCACCACCATTATCCTACAGACATTAAGCTGCTGTTATTATGATTATTGTTAGTAATAATAACATTTATCCTGCACACACTGGCATCTTGCCAGTTTATACCAAATGTGGGACAAATCATTGCTAAAGAAAAATAATGTAAAGCAACTAGTATTCCTTAATGTTTCTAATCTTTCTTTTGTCACCGAAATACTTCGAAAACATTGCTTCTGTTTAAAAAATATATATTTGTGGTACATACCCACACTGAATGGAAAAATGAATATCTATTTGATGTCACTTTGAGTCTAAAATATAAGACATAATATATTTTACAGTTATTCATTATTGTTTTCTTTGCCAAATAATTCCTTTTATCTCGCTTCATATATTTGACGTATATAGCTATAAAGTAGAAATTAGTCAAATAAATTAGTAAAAGTAAAAACCATTAAATGAGCGTGTGTGTCCAACTTTTGAGTGGAAGCGTACCCTACCGGTCAAAAGTGGTAGAACACCCTAATTTCTGAATTTTTTTCAATTGAAAATTATGTAGCTTAGTGTTTCATTGCACTCTGAAACGAAACCATAGTATAAATAATGAGTTGGAGTTAAACAAAGAAATCATGGAATCAATTTATAGGCCTGGCAGATAAAACAGCTGAACATACCTGTTTTATTCTTTATATTCTTCAAAAAGTTCTTTCCATATGTGCTGCACAAGTTCTGCGTGATGAACCAAAGATTTCAAATTTTGATTCATTATACCTTCCAGTCCTCCGTAGTTCAATGGCAGTGTTTCATGGCTCAGGGAAACCTCTTATACTGATTCTTCTTATTCTGATGTCTCAGCATTGGCTTTCTTGCTGCAACTCATCCTATCAAACCTGCAGCTTGAAGTCTTCTATTCACTGTTGCAACTGACACTTGATTACTATGACCACTATTTATGTGCTTGAAGCTTTTGTCCTGTGACTCAGCTGTTACACAACCTGTCAACTCTCAGAAACCTGTCCTGGTATTCAGTTGTGGCTTTGGGTCTGCCAGACCTCTTCCTGTCAGAGTTGTCCCAGTTTCTGAGGGCTTTTGAATGGTGAAGGAAAATGTATTCATTGACCCCTTGACTTTCTTTGCTATTTCTCTCTTCTAGAGTTAACTGCCTTGTTCCTCACCTTTTTTGTGGCAAAACATCACTTTCTGCAGTACAATAATGTTCAACTGATGCTCATAAGGATATCTTACCACAGTGTGTTCCAACACTGCTTTTATGCAGACAGAGCAGTTTGTAAGTAATTCAGAAAGGTTGGAACACTTGTAGGAGTTAGTCGCACCAGGTTTCAAGGCTTGATGATGGGTGGTTTGAAAAAATAAATTTCCCTGTATTGTAGTTTGAATAACACAATAATGATTAAAGAGCAGGCAAACAGATTCCGCCAAAATATTTAAATATAACGCGCTGACCTGCCGTCTGGTGCTGAAAGTCGACATCTCACAGATTCTGAAACTACAGGTTGTATCACTGTCTGACTAAATTCACTGAACCAGAAGCAAAAGAGCATCAAAATTATGCTTCATGTTTGATAAATATTGTCATGAACTCCCTCTTGCATTTGCTGTCTTGCTTCCACCACTAATCACACTTGCTCTACAGCTCTCTCAGTGTAGTTCAAGACTAGTTTGCCATTATAAAAAAATCTGTTTTTTGCATTATTTGCTTGCTTATCATGCATCAGTCTACCGATGTGTACAGTGTTGCTGCCCATTGTTTTTGTTTGTTTGTTTTTTTTAAAGTGCCATCTGACCAGAAAGCTTAATTTCTGCTCATTTCTACTGAAGAAATTTAAACTTTTACAAACGATGCCAAATTGTAAAATGCGTAGCCATTTCTCTAATAAAACCTCTTCAACATTGCTCTACTTTAGTTCAGCAGCATCAGGTAATGTTCATATGTCGATTCGTGGTTTTCTTCCTTTTTGGATTTACTGGAGAATATTTTCAGGGGGTTATCTGCTATAAAAGCCAGGACTTTTTTTTACAGAGACCTAAATATAGCACAGGGGTTAAAACATAGCACCAAAAAAAGAGATGACCAAAATATTGCACAGAACAAGGAAAGACTAAGATATTGCACATGGGATGGCAGCAACATAGTCAATGAACAGCAGCAAGAGAGTTATTGTATGGAAGAAGTCTGTTCACATTCTTAGTTTGCATTAAAAGTTCTGACAGCCCACGGGAAGAAGGTGGTTTTTAGTCTATTGGTTTTGCAACTGGTGGAGCACCTGATGGATCTTGACTATAAGATAACAGACCTCAAAATAACAATATATACAAATGGTAAATGAATTCAGTCCTAGCCACTTTGTCACACACTGCTAGAATAATAGAAGGGTTTTTTTTTAATGGGGTTGCACACAAACGCAAAGCAGACGTTGATGCATTGCCAAATATGCTTCCAAACCAACTTCCTTCCAAGCCAATGACTAGAAAATGATCACTAACTACTCCTGAAATGTTGGAGGTTTTAGCTCTTCATACAGTAAAGTTACAGGAGAAAAAATGTTCTTTGTTTGTTAAAATAATCCCGTCCGGTACCTCGTGAGAACAATAAATATATAATTTTCAGTTGTAACCCTCAAACTGAATGGTAATGTAATCCACTCATTTTTTGCTTCATCACAAAACTCAAACATTACTACTTCCACGTCTAATCATTTGTAATGGAGGCAGAGCAAACTGGATCCGCAGTCCGTGCCTGATAGGTTTCTAGCTTAAACCTATTCGCTGGAACGTTCAAGAGAATATACTACACAGCAAAAGCAAGACACGAGTAGGCAAAGTTCTTTGTGTTACCTGCCTGGAGCCAAGTGTCGTTCCACCGACTTGACCTCCGTCAGACTCTCAGCCAGTTTCCCAATAGCACTCCTTTTATTGTGGTTGCATGAATATGCATAGGTTCATTAACATATGACATTTCATATAGGTATACATGTGGACAAAGAATACCTTGTGTGTGTGTGGGGGGTCAAGATGTGACCCCGTGAAGACTCCCCAAAGCTGGTGCCAGGAGTCTGGCGGTCCATCTAAACAAAAGGCTCTTATACTTAACCAGATACAGAGTAGGTGTCCTTCTATACCATAAATCAGTAAGAGCAGATATGACCTCTCTCCTGACCTTAAGTTGTATGTGCATGCCAGAGTGCTCTGGGAGGCACACAGAAAGATCAAACCTCTACCAACATGACATTGATTATGAGTAGATACTTCTAAGCATAAATGACAATCAACAATACAAATCTAACAGTGCCCAGTGAATGCTCACAATGCAGGGGGCACAAATTTAGTTGGTGATACCTACCTTGTCACAGGATCAGTGCTGTGCCAATTTGGTGCAATCATGGACAAACAGTATCCCACAGTTGTTTGTGTTTTTAAACCCATCTTGCACAGAGACAATTTTTGAAAAATGTATTGATAGCAGTGTTGAATATTCTTACACGGTGTAAAAAAAAAAAAAAGAAGAAAAAAAACTATATTCTTTTTTCTTTTTTTTTTGTAGGTTTTGTTGTTCCATAACTGCGTGTCACTATTTTGATTCTTTGTCATCATAGGCAAAAGAAGGAAAAGCAAGCCAAAACCTCTGCACACCGATGACCTAAAAATAACCCACCCAAGGCCAACAAGTACAGATAAACCAGTTGTGATCCCTGTGGAAAAGACTTTTACCACTATGAAGCAAGCCAGAAGACACCAGCGCACCGATAGTGGGGACAGAAGCTTTAGATGTGATTGTTGTGGAAAGTCTTTTACTCATAATAGCAGCTTAAAAAGACATCAGCTCATCCATGCTGAAGTTAAACCCTTTAGCTGTGATCGGTGTGGAAAGTCTTTTTCTCAGCATCACAGTTTAAAAAAACATCAGCTCATCCACACTGGATTTAAACCATTCAGCTGTGAACAGTGTGGAAAGTCTTTCACTTCCAAAAGTAACTTAAAAGGACATCAGGTCATCCACACTGGAGTTAAACCATTCAGCTGCGAACAGTGTGGAAAGTCTTTCACTTCCAAAAGTAACTTAACAGCACATCAGCTCATCCACACTGGATTTAAACCATTCAGCTGTGAACAGTGTGGGAAGGCTTTTACTCAGGATGGAAGCTTAAAAAAACATCAGCTTATCCACTCTGGTGTTAAACCATTTAGCTGTAATCAGTGTGGAAAGGCTTTTACTCACAAAAGGAACTTTAAAGAACATCAGTTTATCCATGCTGGGGTTAAACCGTTCAGCTGTGATCAGTGTGGAAAGTCTTTTACTCGCAAAAGTCACTTAAAAGGACATCAGCTCCTCCATGCTGGAGTTAAACCTTTTAGGTGTGATCAGTGTGGAAACTGTTTTACTCACAAAAGTCACTTAAAAGAACATCAGCTTATCCATGCTGGAGTAAAACCTTTTAGGTGTGATCAGTGTGGAAACTGTTTTACTCACAAAAGTCACTTGAAACAACATCAGCTCATCCATGCTGGAATTAAACCATTCAGCTGCAATCAGTGTGGAAAGGCTTTTAATCGCAATAGTCACTTAAAACAACATCTGCTCATCCATGCTGGAGTTAAAGCATTCACCTGTGATCAGTGTGGAAAGTCTTTTACTCATAGAAGTCACTTAAAAGATCATCAGCTAATCCATGCTGGAGTTAAATCATTTGTCTGTGGCCAGTGTGGAAAATCTTTTACTCATATTAGTAATTTAAGAAAACATCAACTCATCCACACTGGAGTTAAATCTTTTGTCTGTGGCCAGTGTGGAAAATCTTTTACTCATATTAGTAATTTAAGAAAACATCAACTCATCCACACTGGAGTCAAATAATTGTTTTGTGATCACTGTGGAGGCTTTTACTTATATAGACACATTTAAAAAGCACCAGATCATTCACACTGGAATTAAAGCATTTGTGGTCAGTGTGGAAAGTCTAGTTTAATTATCTAAAAAAATAAAGATATCAACCATCTTAAAATTAAAACACTGAAACGTGAATGGGGTGGAAAGTTTTATATCCATAACACAAACTTGTTCAACTGACAAAGTGTCCCTCTGTAACAAAACTGGCAGACCGTCGTGACAGTACTCTGACAGAGTTCTTTTGGACAGAGTGAGAAACACAGCTGATCTGAACAAATCTTCTGTATGCCTGGTCAAACTTAAAAACTTGATCAGGCCTGACAGAATTCAGCTTTAATCTCCTGTTCAATGCTACTGCGAGAAAGTCCGTTATATCAGTTAAGACCTTCTACATGCTCTCTGGTGAAAGCGAGTGGATAAACTTTGACAGCATTGAGCAAGCTAAGTATTAGAAAGACTTAGGACTAGGTAAAATGAGCAAGTAAATGGAAAGAGATTCACAGATGTGATGTTTGCTTTGAGGGTTTGATGGAGACTGTCAGATCTTCACTATGTCTTTGTGGATCTGGTGGTGCAGGACATGAAAACAGAATGGTGAAATGTGTGGTAACAGATTGATTGAAGGTGGGGGTGGGATTACATCCAATTCTGAGCCCCTTCTTGCTACCAGTTGTGATGGACAGGCTGACATGCAAGATAAGTTAACAGTCTCTTTGGATTATCATGTTTGCAGATGACATTGTTATCAATAACCCACTGATCAAAGACCACTGATCAAGGTTTTGGTCAGTGGTTGTTGGTCAATGGTAGGGCTGCACGATTAACACTTTGAGTCCCCCGAGAGCAGCAGTGCCCAGCCTTCTACCTTTCTACCTTTAAAACCCGCCTTCCAGCCAAATGGCTGGTAGGCTTTTAGCTAGGCTTTAGCTTCAGCCAAGTGGAAGATAAATTGTCTAGTCATTCATATGTAAATTAGGTTGTTATCTGGGAATTCTGGAGGGGAGTGGGGGTGTGTGAATGAGGGGGTGGGGGAGCTGCTAAAAGCTGTGAACTTCCTTTTGTGTTCGTCTTGATGCATTCTCAATCATCCAGGGAAATAAATCTCCAAAAGTCACCAACTCGGAGTGTTTCAGTTTGCCATCTTAGGGAGAAATCAACACACATGGGTTTATTTCCTTTGTTGCTGAGATTTATTGATAAAAACAGTACAAAAAACCAACCATTTGTACACATATTTACAAATAATAATAAAAAGTGAGTGAGTACATTTCAACATTTTCAGCAATCACTCACAATCCTGGCACCGAACCGAAAGGACTGTATCGAACGGTTCAATATCGATACGAATACCGTTGCACCCCTACAATATATATTTATGTGTGTGTGTATGTATGTATGTATGTATGTATTGTGGAGCAGGGAAATTATTTTACTGCTATTGGTAAATAATCATCATTACCATTGCATTAATAATATAATCTGCAGTATTGATATTGCATTCAGAGGTTTAAACAGTGTGTGTGTGTCTTTCAGAAAGACTAAGTTGCAGGAGTTGACAGGAAGTTGCAGAGAGTTTGCAGAAGTGAAAGCAGAGTCTAAGTTATTCTGAGGAGCAGGTTAGACGAGGCTATTTGAATTACTAGGTTATTCAAATTGTCTGTTATACTTTTATATTCTTTTACTAAGCTTTTAGTAGAAGTTCTTGATTAAAACATTTATTCAACATAGTACATATAGTTTCAGTTAGGTTATTACACATAAGGATGAGCCTCTGGTCTGGTAAAAGGTCAGAAGTGCAACGGGTGAATTGAGAGAGCATTTGAGGACGACACACACACACACACACACACACTCAGTTAGAGAGAATCATTTATAGGTGAAAGTTTAATCATGTTTTGCTTGGGGTTGCAAAAAGAGCAGTTTGTCGCAGAACTGCTGAGGTGTCAAGATGACAAGCGAGCATCCGGCAGTAACAGGAAATACCGGCCATGAAGATAGAAGACAATGTTCTTTTTAACTGTGTTAAAAGTCATTGTGGTTTTGATTTGATGTATGTATATATTATGTCTGTGACGTATGAAGGGGCGTCATTAATTCAAACCCTGATGCTATAAAAATCTGTGTATGCTTTGATTAAGTCGAAGATCAATCCCTGTCTGTGTACAGAGTGGTCTTCCCACGCGTGTATTAAAGTCATCGTTTGACTTCACCCGGCCGGATCAGTGTGGTTATTCTTCGATCACCTCTTGTACCCTTCCTCAATTATGTGAACCTTAACAGTATGTATGTGTATATGTGTGTGTGTGTGTGTGTGTGTGTGTGTGTGTGTGTGTGTGTGTGTGTGTGTGTGTATATATATATATATATATATATATATATATATATATATATATATATATAGAGATATATATATATATATATATATAGAGATATATATATATAGAGATATATCTCTATATATATATATATATAGAGATATATCTCTATATATATATATATAGAGATATATCTCTATATATATATATATAGAGATATATCTCTATATATATATATATAGAGATATATCTCTATATATATATATATAGAGATATAGAGATATATATATATATAGAGATATAGAGATATATATATATATAGAGATATAGAGATATATATATATATAGAGATATAGAGATATATATATATATATAGAGATATAGAGATATATCTATATATATATATCTATATATATCTATATATATATCTATATATAGATATAGATATATATATAGATATATAGAGATATATATATATATAAGTGCAAGATGCTAGCAGGCAAGGCATACATGGAACGCCATAACCAAGTGGCCGGCATAGTGTACAGGAACATCTGTGCCGAGTATAACCTGGAAGTCCCAAGGTCAAAATGGGAGATGCCCCCAAGGGTGGTGGAGAATGACCGAGCTAAGATCCTGTGGGACTTCCAGATACAGACAGAGAAAATGGTGGTGGCTAACCAACCGGATATAGTGGTGGTAAACAAACAGAAGCAGACGGCCGTAGTGATCGATGTAGCGGTTCCGAATGACAGCAATATCAGGAAGAAGGAACACGAGAAGCTGGAGAAATACCAAGGGCTCAGAGAAGAGCTCGAGAGGATGTGGAGGGTGAAGGTAACGGTGGTCCCCGTGGTAATCGGAGCACTAGGTGCGGTGACTCCCAAGCTAGGCGAGTGGCTCCAGCAGATCCCGGGAACAACATCGGAGATCTCTGTCCAGAAGAGCGCAGTCCTGGGAACAGCTAAGATACTGCGCTTGACCCTCAAGCTCCCAGGCCTCTGGTAGAGGACCCGAGCTTGAAGGATAAACCGCACGCAGGGGCGTGCTGGGTGTTTTTATATATATATGTATATATGTATATAAATGCGCCGTATTTGATAGCTTGCTGCGAGACCTCACACCGAGCACATCTACTGCGGGCGGGTTGCCTGTTATGCAACATCCCCCAAAAACCCGAAGAGGAGAGTCCTGGCCCCTAGCCCTGCCAGTGTAGCAGAAATGATGAGGATGATGATGCAGCAGCAGCCGTTCTTTTCTGCGTGAGTAACTTATTAATGTTGTTCGTGTGTAATTTACGTTGAGTAGGCTAACCACGTTATTACATTAATGCATGTAAGGTGAACTAGCAAACATCATCATAGCTACATGCGGCTGTCCTCTTGTTTGATGGCAGATACTCCCTTCACCCTGGCCAAAAAGGCTAAAATGACCAAAGAAAAAGTGGAAAACAGCTAAACATGAGAGGTTTAGGACAAAGTTTGTTTTTTCCATTGTTTAAGCACTGCTTCCAGCCAAGAGTGATACCATATATGCCCCATAGCTGCAGAAAAGGCTAACATTGTTATCTTTTTACAAAAAACAGCTGAACATGAGAGGTTTTTGGACCAATTTTGTGTTCTCCATTCTTTAAGCACCGGTTTAAGCACCGGCACCATTTCAAAAGTACTGATTTGGCACCGGTATCGGATAAAACCTAAACGATACCCATCCCTAGTCTTCACAGACATCTTCAACTCTTCACTGAGGCAAATGATCGTCCCCGTGTACTTCAAGTCCACCACCATCATCGCAGTGCCAAAGAAATCCTCAGTATCCTGCCTAAATGACTATCGTCCCATTGCCTTGAGCCCCATCATCATGAAGTGCGTCATGAGACTTGTCATGGCACATGTGAAGAGCAACCTCCCCTGCTCACTGGATCCGCTGCAGTTTGCATACCGGTGTTCCAGATCTACTGGCGTTTAGATCTACTGGCGTTTAGATCAACTGGCGTTAGTCGAACAGATGTGTGACAGTCTTGCGTTTCAGGAGCTGCTACCGACAAACCAGCAAAAAAACGCCAAATGTGTTACCTGTGACACTTGTGAGGTTATCTCAAACACACTCTGTCAGTCTTGATGCTGTTGAACAACAAAATGTTTAAAAATGTGGCGAGTTTACCTGGTGATATCCTCATGCGTGACGCGATCACGAAAACAGCAAAAAATTAACACCACGCCGATGTTGTTCACAGGACAGCAAGAGTAAACGATCGGGAGACTCTTGTCGTCGTTATCGTTCCCCTCGCACGGTTTATTTCTCCGAATTCAGCGTTTTTGCTTCACAACTACAGTGTGTAGTTTACTTTGTGCACTAACATGGACTCGAGTCAACCAGCGCCACCTCTGGCCAAGTGCCACAGCCTACAGCCAGATCAACTTGTGACACACATCTGCACCACGTTTGAATTCGTGTCATGCACATTTGTACCTTTCAATTGTGTCAAATGACTGTTCAGTACAGAAAGGAAGCGAGGCTTCCTGGTCAATAACCCCTTGTAAAATTTACCAATCACACCTTTAACTAGGGTGTTTTCATCAGCCCTCACAAAAATTATTCGATTGCATCATCTACTGTAGGTCGGTTTTGGTGAGAAGTAGTTCCTCAGTTTGATGTATCTAAAATAGTTTACATTATTAGGCTGGTAAAACATCTTCAAATGTTCAAAGTTTTGAACTGTTGTCGCCTTGAGGCGACAAAAGTTGCCTCAAGGCGCTGTATATTGTACAGTAGATCGTACAATAATAGATACAGAGAAAAACCCAACAATCATATGACCCCCTATAAGCAAGCACTTTGGCGCCATTGGGAAGACAAAACTCCCTTTTTAACAGGAAGAAACCTCCGGCAGAACCAGGCTCAGGGAGGGGCGGCCATCTGCTGTGATGCTGCTACCATTAAAGTATCTGAATTTTATTATTTATTATTATAACTTGTATTCTCCTTTTACTTTATCCCATATTTTCCACTGAGCTTTGATCCATGGACTTTGAAGATTGCTTGTATTGGTAGGTCTTTAATTATTGAGAGCTTGTTGTCCTTCCATCTAGCGTGGAATTTTGATTCTCAGAAATAAACAAGAGGCTTGATTTGAGCCGCATAGGAAGGCTAAGGTTTGGTAAGGCTCAACATCCCTCTTCTTTAGGAAGTGGTAATGTTTTATATTTAATCCTAGCTCTCCTGCCTTGCTAGTCTGACATTTTTTTTTATTTTTTATTGGGGGGGAGGGGATTAGAGATCTGATCTAGATTATTGTATGGGACACATCGTCAGTAGTGGACCTTGGATTCATCGGGTGTTTCGGCAACACGTTCTCACTCCCAACTTGTCAAATGTGTGACGCATGGTCAGGCTACCTCTGCTTCACTTATCAACGCACAGGTTACCCCCCTTGCATCGAGGATTGACGTGCAGGGTCCTCTCATTGAATACTATAGAGCTCCCTAAACGTAGATATTATTACGTGTTTTACCGTCTTTATGGTGCTAGCTTAAAGTTGCGGTGTAAACGTTAGCTTATATTGTAGTAAAGCTGTTGCTGTTTAAACGATGTTAGGACAGAAATATTAGCTTCTGTCATGACTGATGAAGTTACTAGTTAATAAAGTTTCCAGTAAAGTGATTAATCGCAGCCACAGATTTACAGCAAATTAAGACGCTGTCTTAATTCTCCAATAAGCCAGGGCCAAGCCAGCTCCTATCAGCAAGAACCCTGTTATCATGGTTCCGAATAGGTAGATATCTTCAGCGTCCTCGATCGACAGTCCCGCCAGGCACACGATCCTCCATTTCTGCCACCCATCCATCGTGTATCCGGCAGGGAAAGTCCCTGTAGGGCACTTGGGCTCTCCCGAGCCAGGACTTCTCATTGAGAAAAGGGTGTCAATAGCATTCAGAGATTTGATCAACTGGTCTAGTTGATCAAATCCATAATTCTCTTTTAGGTTTTAGAGAACGACTGTGAGAGACTGTTCCAGGTAAAGTAATACACACGAGACAGGACAAGGACACAAGAGGCTAAGCAGGGAAGATAAGGGGAAGGAGGAGAGGAGAAAAGTGCAACTGCCTTCACCGAGAGCCAAAGAGAGAACAGCAATATATTGGCCATATTATATTTACATTACCGCAGTGAGATGATTTTAGTCTCATGAACAGCATTAGCTAATTGTTATTACTAACTACTCTTGAAATGACTGTTCAGTACAGAAATGAAGCCCAACAATCATGTTTTACAGTCCTGTGGTCTCAGCCTCAGATACTCAGCTAATCAAAGTGATGTCATGACAAAAATGAATGACCAACAAAAATTTTTTCTCCTTCATTTCTGTCAAACAATGCTGTATGTAACGTTTCTCGCAGTTAGTATCATGGTTGCTAGGCAACCTGAAGAGGGCGACGAAGGCTAGACCGTCCCATTTCACAAGCCTCTCACCTCCGCACTGCTCGTACTTATAGTACACACCGTACGTAGTATGCGTAGTGTGCGTACTTCAAGCGTGCAGACCCTGAATTGGGACAAAGCCATGGACTGGAGATACAAACAGCCACAACCACCTACACACACACAATGGACAACTTACCCTCATACACACAATAATAACATGGACTGAACCACCATTCACAACCACTAGCATTTTATATAGCCTCTGTAGAAATTATCCACATATCTCACTTATCTTAACTGAAATACTGTATAATTCTGTGTAAATAATCATTCTGTACAATACGATAATTTTAATTCTACAACTGTTTATAACTTGCATAGTTCCCATTTCTGTATAGCTGTATATCTCATATTTCTGTATAGTTTTTTTTTATTTCATATGTCTGTATAGTTTTTCACATTTATAACATACCTTCATACCGTGTACATTATAACATACCATAATAGACCCATTTCTGTAATATATTTACATATCTATATTATTGCTAATATATATTTGTAATATATCGTTATCATGGCTAAAGCACTTCTGGATGGATGCAAGTGACAATAAAGCTGAATTCTACTCTATTCTATGCTATTCTATTCTGATGAGCGAATCATGAACAGACTCCCAACCAGTTGGTGGCGGTATTGCACCACATCGTTGTTTGCCAACCGCCGACAAACCACAAAGACGAAGAAGACGTAGTGCCCGTACCCGCCCAGAGCACAAAGTAGGCTTTCAGAAGAAACAGTGTAACCACAGTCATCATACTTTTTATCCTCCACGGGGACTTTTAGTTTTTTTTCTTTGTTTGTATTTTTAATCCGTCTAAGGGAAATATAGTGTGACTGTACTGAGCTTCCTTACTGCTGCCCCTCTGGTCTCCGGCATATCACGTTTCTGTTTCTCATGCGTAATTGGAAAGATATACGTTTCGTAGCTCGGAAGCTTGGTCTCTCTGCAAGGTAGCCATTAACATACAGGGAGGTGAGTGAGCCAGCTGTCTTTACTAGTCCTAGTTCAACTACAAAGCCGGCCTTCTCCGCTGGGGGATCTTTATTTCGGGTTATTCTGAGAGGGGATTGAGGGCCTTATTTTGTTTTAATCATTTGTGTTCTGCTAGTTGTTTTTCTTCATATGAAGATGTTGTACTGAGTATTGTGATTTCATGAGGTAGCTAAAAATACAACAGATTCCACAATAACAGAATCACCGACCCGTAATATGTCTTTTAAGATGGCGCAGGCTGTTGTAGCAGCTCCCTGTCTTCTTTCTTTTTGTTCTTACTATTTTTTTTAAATTATTTTGATACCTTTAGCTCAATATTTATCTTTTTATATAATATTTATCCATCATAACTCTGTTTCTGCACTCAGTGAGTGCATGTTGTTTGTCGTATATTTCCTGCTATGACAACTTAGTTTTCCTCTGGGATTAATAAGGTTTTTCTGATTCTGATATTGGTGCTGAACCTACGAGGCAAAATAATGCTACACAATACAATGGTCTGCAGTAGTGCCCTACAATAATACAATAAATTTAACTGGCTTAAATATAAAAATCTTTTTGCTGTCACAGGTGACTGGCAGCAGGCGAAGAGTCTGCAGGAGGAGCATCTCAGCACCTGTAGTCAGAAACATTGGTTCTTCACTGAAGGTGACAAAGAAAAATCGCCAACATTATTCTACAGACATTAATTGGTTGTTATTTTAATAATAATAACATCTAATTCTGTACACAGTGACATTTTGCTTGTTTATCCCAAATGAGAGACAAATCACTGCTGAAGAAAAATAATGTTCTCAACCTGCTTACATTAAATCAATGGATGGATGAAGTTAGCCGTTTTTAACCCTCCTGAAAATAAGCTTCTCAAGGATCAGTTTTTGGTCCTGGATTTTTTTTTTAACCTTTACACACTCTACATGTTGCTATCATAAAGTATCTGATAATATGTTCTAGTTTTGCACATGATACATTTTTCACAGCTGATACACAGTTGTGCTTTATTTCCTCTGATAATCTCTGATAGTGTATTTTGTTAATAGTATTACATCCTCTGCACACTTTGGCTGCTCTGAAAATGAAGGCAACAAACCAGAGAAGTTTGACTCCCTGGAAGAACTTATAAGTACACCTACACTGAAGACTAATTTAGGAGAACCCCTTTTGACCTGGACAAGAAAAAGCCCCCTGTAAAGTTATGAAATCTTAGTAAATGAGGAAAACAGGAACAGCTCTGTAGCCAGGCTAACTAAGCCACCGGTCTAATGTTTGGACACACCTTCTCATAGGGCTGTGCGATATGACCAAAATCTCATATCCCGATATAAGACATCTATCCTGATAACACTATAAATCACAAAAATGTAACATTTTCTGTAAATTCTGTGAATCTCGGGCAGCTCGACTTGTATGAAGTGTTTCCAGCTGGGCGTCGTGTACCTGGAGTCGAGTGTTTTAACCGATGCATGAAACGATGCAGAAAGTAATATACTGTAGCCACTACAGTGACCATCAAAACGATGAAAAAATATTGCCGTAAACAGTTTATTTTGCGACACCACGAAACAAACGATAGCGTAAAATGAAACAATAGATGTTTTCACATCGTCATCCGATACATATTATGTCGAACAGCCCTACTTACTTTACTACCTTCTCATAATTTTTCTATTTTATAATGGCTTTTTACATTTTAGCTACTAATTTAAAGGATCAATCTCCAAATGAACACTCATGGAATTAAGAGACAAAAAACTGTTAAATAACTCAAAACATATTCATATTTTAGATTCTTAAAAAAAATTCAGATTCTTTAAAATAGTCAGTTGTCTTGATTACTACTTTTCTCACTGTGTGTGTGTGTGTGTGTGTGTGTGTGTGTAGATATATGTATGTATATGTACTAGAGCTGGGCGATAGAACGATAACGATATGTATTGCGAAATAACTTTTTCTCGATAGAAAAGTTAAACTATCCGGTTGTTCAGTGATGACGCGACGAATCCTACTTCCGGGTCTAAAGTAGTCTGCGTTTAATATGGCTTTTGTGTTGTTAACATGTTTAATGTTATGTATTTTCTTCTATTTGATCTCAAAAAGCTCCTAAAACATTCAGTGATCACTGTTGACCTCCCTCGGCTTTTATTACCGCTAATCATTTATTTAAGCTCAGTTTTTAAAACCTTATGATGTAACTACAGCCCAGCCCATGCAGCAGTATATGAATGACTAACCTTGTATTGTGGATGGATTATCTCAGTTGTTCTCCTGGCTGAAGTTTGGTCCTTTTACAGCATCCTGCCATGCGATTACATTTGTTCCTGACCACCGAGAACACTCACGGTAACTTTTGGTACCCTGTCGCGAGAGTTGAGGCTCAGGTGTGAAATGTATAGTTTTCAGGGTTTTTATCGGTTTTCAGCGTTATTTTGTTATCGTTTTTATCGTTTACTCGGTTTTCCTTGGTCTTTTCACGCGTGTTATGAATAAATTTTCTTTTTTTCGGTACTGGTACTAGTTTTATTTTGTTGTATTTATCCGCGACACCTTAAAGGCCGGTCTATGAAAATATTGTCGGGCATAAACCGGTCCATGGCGCAAAAAAGGTTGGGGACCGCTGACGTACAGCACAAGTGCCAAGCTGCACGTGTGTATTTGTTTGGGAAGCAGCCAGTGGCCGTGCCGCCTGGGTAATGGAGGAAATTAGTGTGCCGACTAGAGAAAAATCAACCGAGAGCGTGACCAAAGGTTACCGAAGAGAAAACGGATGATGGTTCCAATGTCGGAGAGATTGTCGAACGGAAGAGCCGCAGAAGTTCCGTAGTGTGAAGGTATTTCGGCTATTTCAAGTCTGACAAAAAACAGAGTAGCGTGCACTGTAAATTGTGCCGAAAGCAAGTCTGGAAATACAATAAACCGGTGTATGCTCAATCTCTGACTGAAAGCGCTAATTCGTCATTCGGCTTTTGTCAGACTAAAGTAACTGTTAAAACTGTTTGAAAAGCTCAGCTGTACAGCAAGGAGAGATTGAGAATTTCCTTTTAGTTCTCAGTTTATTTGATATTGACAAAAGTTAGTCAGTTTTGTCTGTTCTTCTGTAAAACAAACTAAGATTTATTTTTAGAATTAATATTTTGTTTCTAAGTGGAATTGACAATTTAGTAGTGTGTTTTGTTTGTTCTATTTTGAAACTTAAACGCTTTAGCGGCTGCCTTTTGTGTAGTTTGCAATATTTGCCTTTATTTATCTGAAAAAGTCTCATGTTCCTTAAGTACATCTACCCTGTTGAACTTATTATTAGAGATGGCACAATACCACTTTTTTATGTCCGATACCGATTCCGATATCATAAATTTGGATATCTGCCGATACCGATATGAATCCGATATAGTGTTTTTTAATCAACAAAACTGTTTTTTTTTAAATATCTTGCTGCATTTTGTATAAGTTCATACTCAAGTTTAAAAGAACAACTACACTAAAGCTATTCTGTTATACCTGTATGCAAAAAAAAATATTTCATAGTTCCGAAATACTGATCAATCTAATAAACTTAAACCTGCACCATCCTCCCTATTCTGGTATTTTAAAGAGTACTTAGCGTAAATATTAAGCAACCTAACTAACAGGGTTCCAACTCCCAGCAACAACAAAAATAAATAAATAAAAAATAGGGAACCACCCACCCTCCACCTCATGATGCTTAATCGACGTAATCAACCTTAATTTGATGCAGTGTGGAAAAAAATGCACAGAAATCAATTATTTTTCAAGAAATATTAAATAGATTCAACATCTTTCTTCAACAAAATTGCAGACTGCACAGATGGTACCTTCCCAAAGGAAAAAGTACTATAGCTTACTAGGGTATATATATTAGACTTAACAGTTACTATATACAGTAATGGACTTCTATACATTTTACATCAGATTAAAACTTTGGGTGTAAGATTCAGATAATTATTTATTAAAAGCTAGACATTTTAAATGAGAATAAGAAAGAAAAGTATGTCTTTGTGCCCCCTTTTCCCTGTTAATGCCCTATCGGCCCCCCTGGCTAAACTTTGCTAGATCCGCCCCTGCACAGTTACCAGCGTCAGCTGCGTAGAAAAAGATCCTCGAGTAGAAAGTAATATTAAATAAATTCTAACAACAGCTGATCAAGCTTAAACGTGCTTCTGTTGTTCAGCCGCTGGTTTCCTCTTTCTGGTGCAAAGTGGACCAAAAACAAAGAAGAGACACGGACTCCCGACAGAAAAGCTGATCAGCTGATCATTAAGCAGTTTCATGATTGAAGTAGCAGCCAGAAGAGGCAGTCGCTCCATATATCGCTTGTTAAGCTTAACGCAGGAATGCTTTACAAACATTAAGAGATGGACTTACACACTTGCTTTACTTCTCTCGGGGATAACTTTGTCGGAGATGAAATGCCGGGTTGCTAGCGAAGCTCCACATGCTATCCAGACCACCGACAGGTCCCGCATGCCACAGCCGCTCTATCACGTGATGCATACTGCTCCGACGTGCTAACGTTCTGAGGCGAGTTACGGCGTGTTGCAAGTTTTGCGAGGTGCTTTCGTGATATTTAATGGATCGGATTACATTTTTTATTTTTCTCCGATATCCGATCCAGTAATTTAGGTCAGTATCGGACCGATACCGATACGTAATATCGGATCGGTCCATCTCTACTTATTATGGGAAATAAATATTTAAATCAAAACAAGCTGCTGATTATTTCACAATTTACTTGTGAGCAACGGCACATTTAAATCTTACAAATATAGTTATTTGGCTTATATCGTGATAGATATCGTTATCGCCGGAAATGAAAAAAAAAAAACATTGTGATATGAAAAAATCTATCGCCCAGCTCTAATATGTACACTTTATAGGTTTTATTATTCCATTAGTGCATTTCACTGTTTTAGTTCTTTGTCATCTTTGTCATAGGCAAAAGAAGGGGAAGCGTGCTGAAACCTCTCCAAATTTTTGACCAACCAATGCCAGCAAGTAAAGATGAACGAGTTGTAATCCCTGTGGACAAGACTTTCATCACTATGAAGAAGGCCAGAAGACGCCAGCGCATTGACAGTGGAGACAGAAGCTTCATGTGTGATCAGTGTGGAAAGGCTTTTACTCGTAATAGCAGCTTAAAACAACATAAGCTCATCCACACTGGCATTAAACCATTCAGCTGTGATCAATGTGGAAGACATTTCAATCACAATGGCAGCTTAAAACAACATCAACTCATCCACACTGGAGTTAAACCATTCACCTGTGATCAATGTGGAAAGTGTTTCAATCAAAAAGGCAGCTTAAAACAACATCAGCTCATCCACACTAGAGTTAAACCATTCAGCTGTGATCAGTGTGGAAAGTGTTTCAATTATGTTAGCAGCTTAAAAAAGCATCGCCTTGTCCACACTGGATTAAAAGCATTTAGTTGTGATCAGTGTGGAAAGTGTTTCAATCACAATGGCAGCTTAAAAAGACATCAGGTCGTTCACACTGGCATTAAACCATTTAGCTGTGATCAGTGTGGACAGGCTTTCATACATAATAGCAAGTTAAAAAAACACCAGCTTATCCACACTGGATTAAAACCATTCAGCTGTGATCAGTGTGGAAAGACTTTCACTGAGAATGGCAACTTAAAAAGACATCAGCTCGCTCACACTGGAGTAAAACCATTCAGCTGTGATCAGTGTGGAAAGACTTTCACTCAGAGTGGCAGCTTAAAAAAACATCAGCTCATCCACACTGGATTAAAAGCAATTAGCTACAATCAGTGTGGAAAGCCTTTTTCTCCGAGTAATGGCTTAAAAGAACATCACCTCATCCATGCTGCAAATAAACCATTTGTCTGTGCTCAGTGTGGAAAGTGTTTCACTGAGAATGGCAACTTAAAAAAACATCAGCTTGTCCACACTGGCATTAAACCATTCAGCTGCGATCAGTGTGGAAGGACTTTCACTCAGAATAGCACCTTAAAAAAACATCAACTTATCCACACTGGATTAAAAGCATTTAGCTGTGATCAGTGTGGAAAGTCTTTTACTGAAAATGGCAACTTAAAAAAACATCAGCTCATCCACACTGGATTAAAATCGTTTAGCTGTGATCAGTGTGGAAAGTCTTTTTCTCAGAGTAACGGCTTAAAAGAACATCAGCTCATCCATACTACAGATAAACCATTCACCTGTGATCTGTGTGGAAAGTCTTTTACTTATAGTAAAAGCTTAAAAGATCATCTTCTCATCCACACTGGCATTAAATCATTTGTCTGTGGTCAGTGTGGAAAAGCTTTTACTCAGAGTACAACTTTAAAAAAACATTTACTCATCCACACTGGAATTAAACCATTTATCTGTGGTCAGTGTGGAAAAGCTTTTACTCAGAGTACAACTTTAAAAAAACATTTACTCCTCCACACTGGGGTTAAACCATTCACCTGTGATCAGTGTGGAAAGTCTTTTAGCTGCATGAGTTCCTTGAAAGAACATCAGGCCATCCACACTGGCATTAAACCATTTGTCTGTGGTCAGTGTGGAAAGGGTTTTACTCAGAGTAAAACTTTAAAAGAACATCAGCTCACCCACACTGGAATTAAACCATTCAGCTGTGATCAGTGTGGACAATCTTTTACTCGGCGTAGAAACTTAAAAAAACATCATCTCCTCCACATTGGTGTTAAACCATTCACCTGTGATCAGTGTGGAAAGTCTTTTAGCTGCATGAGTTCCTTGAAAGAACATCAGGCCATCCACACTGGCATTAAACCATTTGTCTGTTGTCAGTGTGGAAAGGGTTTTGGTTGCATGGATGCATTCAAAAATCATCAACTAATCCACACTGGAGTTAATTAATTTTTATTGGTCAGTGCTGAAATGCGGCCAATTCTATGTAAACATTTTAAAAAATCAGATTGTTCACACTGCAATTATAGCGTGTATTTAATTGTGGTACCGGTAATTGTGAAATTTGTGGAAACTTTCATTTATAACAAATGTTACTGAGGCATCAGCAAATCCACAACATATGTCGTGCTATGACAAAACTGGCAGACCAATGTGACATTACTCTGACAAAGTTCTTTTGGACATATTAAGTTTGAAGAGGCTCTACCGATTGCAGACTTCTATACCTGTCATTGTACTGGGTCTTTGACCCAGTGTTTTGTGCTTTTTGACATTAGCATTCCATTTGATTGAATATTGTAATATTTAATGTTTATTTCTATTTATATTCTTTTAATTGTTTTTCTGCTTGATGTAATATTTGTAATTTCTAGTCTTTAGGTTCCGTTATCATACCTCCCCTCTTTTTCACATTCTGTGTTTTGTCAGCAGTGGCAATCCTAGCCTGCTTGGTTCCCTGGGCGAACACCCACTCTGCCCCACACCCACAGATAAAATATATGTATGTTAAGGATTGTACATGCATATAAAGCATATTTTACTGTAAAAACTGTTGTTGGAACCATACTGAATTTAGTCAGATAAACACACACGCACATACATACACACATGTGTGTATGTATATTTATATGTGTGTGTGTATGTATATTTATATGTATGTGTGTGTGTATGTATATGTGTGTGTATGTATGTATATATATATATGTATATGTATTGTGGGATTATAATATTATTTTATGCCATGTTAGATCCCTAATTAAAGATTGTGAATTATTATGTAGTTTTAGTTTGCATTATTCTCCTGAATTAGAAGGTGATAACTATTACATTTGTTAAACTGATTTGCATTATATTAGACTGCTGATTTATTGTGAATGAATGATATTGTTTTATGATGCATTATACTGCTGAGTTATAAGAAATACTGTTCGCAGAAAGTCATCGCCTTATTTGTCTGATTAGAAGAGAACAGAACATACTGGAGTTTTCTGCCCCATCTCAGCAGGAGCAGATAAACAGGGAGCCAAGGTCGTAGCTTAGGCGCCGTGTGAGAGAAAGCATGTGAATGTTTAGGCTTTTATGATAAGGTGGAGGCCACTAGAGGCTATAAGAGTTTGATCAATGCTCCACCATTTTGAGATAAGATGCTGTCTGCGTACGGTGTCCATCTCCCATGCGTGTGATCATTAAAATCATCGTTTGACTCAACCCGGCCGGACCAGTGTTGTTATTGTGGTTTTTCCTCTTGTATCCATCCCCAATATTTGAACTCGTAACAGCTTGGGGGCTCGTCCTGTGGTATTGGGGTGGAAGTTGGAGGTTTGGACGGTCCGAGGTTGTCCAACGGACAGGCACAAGCCAGTGGTCTGACGTGAGTGGGCATAAGCCGGCTTATACAAAGGTAAGGCACTACCTGTTGAATCTATTTCCAAAGTGTGCCAAATTGGACATGATAAAATTAAAGTCTACTCGCTGAAATTACTGGTGGATGTCTGTTTTGATGAAAAATCTCATGAGTTAAAGCAGTTAGAGTCTGCTAAGAAAAGTTTAAATACTGGGTTAGAGTCCCAAGAAATTGAGTTAGAGTCTCAAGTAGTTTGGTAGGGAATTGGTCATTTTGTTGGTTAGAGTCCAAATTGGTTATAAGAGTGGACCTGAGTGGTCATTTTGTGAGTTAGAGTCTCCATTGACCTCTAGGTTGCACTTGCCTCAGTCAGACTCTTGTTTTGGGGTGCTGACTGTTGTTTCAAAGTGTTATAAATTATTATAGGACGCCAGTTAGAGTCTGCTAAGATGCGCATAGCCCGGAGGTTACGCTCCCTCCTGGCCATGGACGCGCGACCTTGACCTGTCGGCAAACAGGGTTAGTTCAGTTTGGCTTGACTGTGGAGCTTGGGGCACTCCGGAATAAGCTAGGAGTTAGAGTCTGTAACGGTATCTGCGCTCTTTTGGACACTGTTAAATTGAGTTAGGGACTTTAGAGATTAGGCCAGATACAGTTAGAGTCTGATACTGGTTAATTGATTACAAAAAAGTTGGACTTTCTTCGGTTGGACCCATTAACTTAAATTTGTCAAAATTGTGTAGGCGCTAAATCTGTCAGGCCTTACAGTGATTGTAAATATAAGACGTCTGTGTAATATAAAGTAATAGAGCTGTGTGTGAGACGAGGCCGTGTGTGACGACAGCGCGCTGCAGCGCTGCGAGCTATTTTTAGACGGTGTGTGAACATGCAAATGAGGTGGCTGCTGTGAAGCGCACAGAGGACTTTTGCTTCCTGTTTAGCGTGTTTTTGAGTTTTATAATTATGATTTGCAAGCAATGATACATGCCTGTAAATAAGACGCTGATTTTGCTGATTATAATATTACAAATAAAGTTTTGAATGAGGGTGAATGTTTGATGCTTGGCTGGGTTTTGATATAGAAGAGACAAATCGTGCATGATTTAGACCGGCACTTCAGTCGGCAGAGTAAGATTGTGTGATAAATACAGCTGTGATTTGTTTCAGTTTTGTGGTGTGAAATATGTTGGGTTTTAAAACTGATGTAGAGAAAGGAGAAATAAAGGGAGAGTGAAGAATTATTGAGAAGTAGAGAGAGGAGTGTGTTGGGAGACTGGCATGTAGTCTGCGCTGTAAAGGTGGGCGTGTTGCCTGCTGGTCTATTTAACAGTGATGAAATGACATTAAATAAATCTCTTAGTGTGTTAATACAGGTGGCTACGGGCCTGGACCAACTGCCCCCCACAAGCACAGCGGCCGAAGCAAAATTATAGTAATGAAAACCACACTCAGCAACAATCAGTAGCTGTGGAAAAGACAGCAGCTAGCAGAGAATTAGAGGAGAAAATAAGAGAAGTTTTTAACACATAAAATTGGGGCCAACAGACTTGTGGAGGTTGGGAAGGCGTCCGGAGCATCACATCAAAAGGTGAAACAAAAACACACACAAGCAGAGAAATGTGAGAGAAAGGCACGTGTTAGAGGAATGCCTTGTTTGAGAAAAAAAGTTAAATTAACCCACCCACAAACGCACACACATGCAATGAAGAAACAGCTTACATTCATGAACATGTGAAGATTTTCCAGCAAGGTTAAAGCAGCGAAACTTAACATAAACCTGTTGTTAAATGATAAAGTTTATCCACTACTAACAAATAAACTCTCTGGGTTGCAGGACAACAACTTAACTTCAAAAAAAAAGACACTGGTCTGACCAACCCATGAAGTCACGACAAATTTAGTGGTTAAAAGAATCAAATTGTGACATGTTTTCTGCTGATTGATTAATACAAGTGATTACTAAATCAAAGAAAATTCCATTTTTGGGGTTTTAAACATGATCTTAAGAATTTTAACATGTACCTGTGTTGTCCTGTCAGCTTGGTGGGTTATGAGTTGATTATATGGTGAGAAAAAACAAAAAAAGGGGGCAGAGAAGGCTGACACAGGGCCTGGTCCCGTTGTTTCTCCCCTCTCTGAATGACACAGCCAAAACAACATAATTTTCCTGTTCGTCCGTTTTTGTTTTGTTTTTTCTCTTTATGCTTGATTACAGGCTGCTTTGTCGGCCCGGAAAGCCGAGGCTGACCTGGACTCCTGCTCTCCCCTCTACCATCTTTGCTCTCTCCTCTACCATCTTTGATGTGACCCTGACCAAATGCTACAGCAGCTGGACCCACAACAACAACCTGAAAACGTCAACACTGCTGCAGGAAAACGATCTCATGCAGCGGAGACGGAGAGCGTTAAATCCAAGGCCCGTTTCACTACACGGGGGAGATTTCCAGACAGCTTCAGCTGACAGAGCTGTGACGAGATGCCCATTAAGCCCAGATGAAAAGTGAGCCAGAGCAAAACAATGCTGACCTTAACAACTCTGCATTAAAACTGTGCAGGACAGTGACGGACCAACACAGATGATCGGGCAGCAAAAAGGGCGTGCCAGAGACAGGAGGAGTAACTGAGGTCAGGAGGCACCTCAGAATGGACAAAACCACAAGAAGAAAATAAGCTGAAGGCACAGGTGTCGAGGCTCGGCCAGGAGTTGACCTCTGAGAAGAGCCGAACAGCAGAGCTGCAGAAGGCCGTGGAGCAAAGCAAGGAAAACATCAATGGACTTCAACCTGACGTGTACGGAAAAGACTCTGAGGTTTCTGCCCTCAGTAAGAGCTCAAGGCATCAGAGCAGAAACTGAGCATGGCTCAGGAGGAGCTGGCTGATAATCGAACCCATCAGTCAGGCTTGGAGTCCCAGACACAGGACTTGAAATCAGGCCGGAGCTTGCTGGAGCAGGAGGTTGCCAAACCTGACGAAAAAGCTCCAACAGCAGGAGCAAGCCTTGAAGGAGCTACAGAAGCAAAAGGGTCAAGTTAAGGAGGAGCGGAACAAGGAGAAGATGCAGGACACTGGAGAAAAGGACTGCCTCAATTGGGGCCAGAACCAGTATGGACAGAACTTTGAGCAGCAGCACCAATGGATGCAAACAGACTGAAATGGAGGAGGGCACGCTTCAGGCCGTGGTTTATCCAGAACACCAGAACAGGAAAGTGATGAACACAAACACACACAGACTCAGAATGAACACATATGCACTCGTTGATTGAGTGAGAAATGATCCACACACACACACATTGCACACGCTTGTGCAATGAAGAGTGATACACACACACGCTGATGCAATGAAGAATGCTTTACTAACAAATGCTGCACACAAACATCCAAATACAGAATCTGTTACAACAACAAGAAGCCATTGATTGTTTATTGGTTAAATGCAGTTCATGTCACCCAGAGGGCACCTGTGTAGATTTGGGGGACAAGGTCTAAGGCAGTTTGGTTATGAAAACAATGTTTGTGTGTGATGTCTGTTTATGGCTTAAGGCCTCCACTGAATTGTTTACTGTGCTTCACACGGCCTGATAAGGAGCAGTGGTACAGAGTAAAAATGATGAATTAACGGTGTGAGCCTTATTTCGGAGTGCCACATTGTTGTGAGTGAGATTTAATTGAAGGAGGAACACACTGAAAAAAAAAAAGGGGCCAGCCCTTGGATTTACGTAAGCATCTCGCGTGTATTTGACACAATTGCCTCAGGCTTTAAAGATCTGTACGAAATTCTGATTTCCAGTGTGAGAGAAAAAGTCATGCAGTTATTAGAGCTAGGTTAATTGATGATTCTAAATTATCCATGAATGTAAGTGTAAATGGCTGTTTGTTTCTATCTGATAGACTGGTCACCTGTCCGGGGTGTACCCTGCCTGGTAACCTATCACTTCAGGGTTATTTCCCGGCCCTGCTGTAGCCAGGATAAAGATAGGAGGGTGGTAGTTGTTGTAGACCCCTTCAATTTTTATGGTAACCATGATCTAGACTTTGTTGAACCGCATGCAATATGAAGACAACATGTAGTATTTAAGTGACCAAGTAGTATTTGGATAAAAGTTTCTGAATAGTGTTGAAATAAACTGACAGAATTGGGAAGGATTAAAATATTCCAGGAGCTCAACTTACTCCATCTGAACATGTTTCAATCGTGTTTTATGAACACAAAATGCACAGGTTTACTGAATATGAAAAGGTTGTGTTGA